ATGTATGAGAGACAATGGACTGCCTCAGTGGGGACCTTTGCAAAAAGCATTGTCTCACAGCATGTACAGCTCGCCCAAGTTCACAGAGGTACGAAACCGTTTGGAAAGACCCTTGCACGGTGTCATAAGTGGTACTGTGTTTTTCTCAGAACCGAGAGCATAATATCCGCTTTGCGGTATTTATTTATTTATTGTCCATTTATAAGAATTGAGGTCTGGGTACAGGATGACTTATGGTGTGGAAGTGGCTGCATCTGTAGTTACATCTCACCTGGGATTTTTTAGTTGCTTGTTTCCTCGTTCCTGTGTTGGTTCCATGTTCACTGTGAACCCGTATAATGCAGTTGTGTGTCGTTATACTCTCTTCTCTGAAAATGGGAAATAAGAATTCCACTCCGACACAGACACATTGTGACAAAGCATTGTGTGTTAAACAATGAGCTCTGAAGACTGAACACTGGATGATAAACTATTGTGCTGTTTGCAAAGCGTAAAGGGACTGCGTTATTGCGAAAGTTAGTTTGTTACTGATCAGCTAATTAATGTTACAGTGGTGTTTCCAATTGGCAAACACAGAAGCTGATACTACTGCATACTGCACAAAAATTCACTTGTTGCATTCCATAAGTAATATTTATAAATCTATGAATTTTACAAGCTAATTCAGAAAAATGATTCCATGAACTTCATGCTTGGTGCAGTATGACATTTCTGTGTGTACATGGATACACAGATGTGTACTTTCCCAACCTGTTTTATGTGCAAACTTGCACATGCAAATCTGCACCTTCACTAAATCTTAACATGCGATTTCACGGTTGCCGGTAACCCTCCTGTTTTGTTTCCATATAAATTCTTGGCTCCCTCTTGTGGCCAACTGGTAAAAGTGCATGGAAGAAACGGCACAGGTGTAAGAAATTTGTACAATTGCACTTTCAAAACGGAGACTTTTTATTGCACACATGAAATATAACAAACTGAAACAGCGCATAAGGTACAAATATGTATTTAAAAAGTATCCGAGGAAATGCAGTTCACCATACAAATTAACTCAGAGCTCAAATTACTTTGCCGTTTTACCAGACAGAATTACTGAGTATTTTTTCTTTAGTCCATTTCCTATTGCGCATTAATACTAAAGAACATTTTTTGTACCAGTGTGCCATTTTGGATGGGGGAAAAAAAAGTCTGCTGTGAAAATTGTTAGCGGCGCTTTTGATTCCTTCTGTCCAGATAGTTTTTGTCATTTCACATAAATGTCATTCTAAATTTGATTCTGCCATTAAAAATGATACACACCCTGTTTAATCCATGGTTCTGTGTGACACTGACTTGCATGCACTCTCCTATACAGTAACATAATATACTGTTAAATGCAGATACTGTTACTGTGGCCAATTTGGTGGTGAAGTCTTACAAATAATTGTAGCTTAGCAGTCAATGACTTAATATGTGACAGGAAAATAAAATAATTCAGTGGAAAAAAATGCATGCTCACGTATGTGACAGAGAGAAGAACATATAGAGACAACACGGGTATTGAGAAGTAAATTCAAATGATCCGTTATCAGCATTAAATTAGACTTCTTCATGGGGTGAAGAGGATTTCATATATACACATCAAAAATGGCATTAAAAACTTACAAAACACAAAAAAAAAAAAAAAACATGCAAACGATTTGATGTTTCCAGCACATCTAAACTATCAGAATACAAACCTACAGTAGTTTATCGCATAGTACTCCAGTTGTCAGCAGATTCAGTAGCTTTTCTGGTAACGTGGGACGTCACAGCCAAGAAAACTATGGGTGCAGAAAACTGCTTCAAATCCTCAGCTGCAGCCTGGCCTAAGCCAATGAGCGCCTTTCGAAGCTTTACATCTCCCAGATTCACACCGTGAATGCGCAACACTGCGATTGTCAGCTATTAGAAAACTATATTTACTCAGATCTTTTGTTTCGGAGTTTCTTAGTGACCTAGGAATTTTCACATCATCTATGGGTAAAAAAAAAAAAAAAAAAAAAAAAGGAAAAATCTGTGTGGTTGCCAGGTCATGCACTTCATAGTAAAATATACGCAGGGAATAATGACTATGTGCTGCTTAATTTAAAAAATGCTTTGGTATTATAATCATTATAACACAAAGATATGTGCAATGAATTTTGATCTGTATTACACTACATTACACTACTGATTTGCAATTCTCATCTTCCTTTCTTTACTGGACACATTCCACTCATCTATGCATCCCGAACAACAACGTGTCAGAGTGACATTCTACCCAGATGAAGAAAAGAACAAATGTCAAGAACATCATGAGCCTAATTTTGGTCGTTTTTTTCTCTAGTCTACATGTATTACAACATTACTGTATATAAGTATCGACCCTTGATTCCAACACTAGGCTCATCACGGCGTCTATATAGCGCACAACATACGGATCAAGAGAGCAACACCACCAGGAACGAATTTTAGATTCCTTAGGACACTGCTACACATTACAAAATACATACTTTCAAATGCTCCTTTTTTCCGGAACAGCCAGCATGCACAACCATTCAAATGTTAAAAGACTAAATCCAATTCACCACTTCTAAACATTCTAGGGACATTCATTTTGAGGAATACACAGATGCCAAATACACGTGTAAAAGCATTGCCGTGGTCTAAAAATAAATGAGGCAGAATCGCAAAGATCAATTTCACGGCAAACTATCCAAATATATCACCGGAGAACGGTCTTAAATATAGAAAACTATATTTAAAATAACAAAGATGGCTGTATAAAATCCAGCATGCAAATACACAGCCTGCCTAAGGGCAAAGAGTTAGTTATTCGGCAAACACTGTAAACGGAAAGGCGGCCGTAGACTTTGAAAGTCAGTCCGTTTAAAAAAAGTGCAATGTAAACTGCCACACTCCACTTGAACGCCACCCTACGAGGAGAGCAAGGACAATGAAAGTGACATTGAGAGCCATGTACAGAGCATTGTGTGTTTCGGCACTACAGTATGTCTATCCGTAGCGCCAGGCACACCGAGTGGAACAAAAATAATAAAATTTAAAAAAAGAATTACTCTCCACGTTTCCTTTGTGCGTCCCTTTTTAAATTTTATTTTAGTTTTTTTTTTTTGTTTTTTGTTTACCCGCCCACTCAGCTGACAGTCTGTCATGGGGAGGTGTTCCCAGCAAGCAGGCCCGGGTCAGTGGGCCACGCCGTCGTTGGTGTAGGGATCGTACCCGTTCCCCGCATACAGCTCGTCCATGCTGCCCACTCCGTTGCTCACCTCTGTGGGGCGGGGGTTCAAGGGATGACGGCACAGCATGAGACGCGCAAGCATTATTTACAATAATAATTAATGCAAAAAAACATGCAAAGCTTCTAGATTTATATCTCGCCCCAATCCGAAAACAGCTAATTATTTACGATGTATTCTAAATATTAGCTACATTTTCCTCATCGTCATCTATGCATTAAACACAAACGGTTTCAGAATGTTAAATTTGGACAGTCTTCCCATTAAACCCGTTCTGTTTTTAACTTTAGCTAGCCACCATATTATTGCTACCAATAGACGAATGCATTAAGAATATGCAACACATTAGAATGGCACACTGACTGGGAAACCTCAGCACTCTGAACTCACCTCTTATTGGCTGCCATTAGTGGTGGGCAAACCACAAGTGTGAGCTCTATGAATGGCCATGCAAGTCTCCAGCGGGCAGAAGGGTGGGGGGTGGGGGCGAGGAGGTGCACAGGAATGGTAGCAGCGGGTAGTTAAACGCTCGGGTGGGGCGGGGTTGGTGGAATGGGATGGGGGGACTTCAAGCACTGGAATGTGGAAAGGGCTTCTGGCGGCGAAGTCTGGGCACCTTTGGGAGATGTACAAACACTCAGAAAGCATGCAGGGCTTACACACACACGCACACGCACACGCACACGCGTGCGCACACAGGCGGCAGGCAGCGGGCTAAACCCCCGCCGGCTCCGGGAGTCGGAGTGCCCCTAGTCTGGCCAGCCCTCGTCACCTGAGAAGATGAGCTTCTCCTTCATGATGTTAACATCTCGGCTGCTCCGCCGGACGGCCGCACTCAGCATGATCTGCTCCGGGTTGTAGCTGCGGATCCCGCTCATGCGCCATCTGAAAAGCCACATGGGGGCGCTATAGCAAATCTTATAATAATGTAACATCTTGTAATAATATAGTATTACACAGTGACATCCAGCACATGAAGAGCTGTATAATTTTATATTACTCATCACTGAATGGTTTAACAGCACTTATGCTGCTGTAGTATGCCAGCACGTTTTTTTAACAGGAAGACATTATTCATTTTAATTTATCCCATGTGAGACTTTTGTAAAGCATGCTCAGACCAGTATTGCCCACCTATTTCTGCTGCTACAATATAACAAACATGATGTAAATTGTTTATACATATAGATTAGAGAAAGAGAGAAATCTTCAGGGAATCCAGGGACTGTCTGACCCTGCGATCACAAATATTATATATAGACTCGTTTGTTAAAAGCCTTTGCTAAGTAGGTCAAATGTAATATAAATGAACTATAAAAGCCTTAATTTTACCCACAACACAGTGAATTGGGCTGCAAAATTCTTGGGGTTTTCAAAGTTGGAAACTTTCCATGGGAATTAACAAGAAAATATGGGAATAAAATTGCAGGTTAGCCTGTAACAGGGAACTTAAATGTAATTGGTGGGGGGGAGACATCTTGACAGCACTGATAGTGATATCATTGTGTAACCAAGTGCTTGGGAGTAAGGGTGTGTATGTGTGGAAAAACACCACAAAATAATCATCTGCATCAAAACAACCTGCTTATAAGTCGTACTCTATATTACATTATTCATACAGTTTGCTTCCTTAGCCCTATCTGACAGCTTTCCAAGATTCCCTAGCTTAACTTTCCCTGGAAAGTTTCTGGAAATTTTCCACCCATT